AATATTCATTGTTTTTCTGTTCTGACCTTATCTCCTACGAATGGTTCTCTGGCACTGTGGCCAACTTCTGACTCTCCAACAGGCTTCCTGTGCTTGTTGTGCTTGAAGAAGTATTTATTATTGTTTGCCTTTGCCTTTTGCAGGTTGTTTCTGTGACTCTTTTTGGCTTGCCTTATTTCTCCTTTTTGCATTTAAATTATCAGGATACATATTTTTTGCTTGTTTAGACAAAAATGGCTTTTCTAAACATAAAAAGGCTGGATCCTTAAAGTCTGAGAATCATCAGGCCATCTCATCTCAGCCTGATCTAAGACCTAGACCTAACCAGGTTTGAGGCTCTGGGTTTCCCACTAGACGAAGATGTGCTCTTTGGTTTGACAGGATGCCGAGATGCCAGATTTTTCAAGTGTGATACATTTATGGACAAAAATCATGACTGGCCAGGATAAATTTTGCCCAGCTTGGGCTTCAGGATATTGCACCTTCACCGGTGGAAGGAGGGAAGCATTTCTCTGACTGGCTATGATTATTTTGGAAGCTGTTTTGGGGTTTGATCCCCTAGGATGATGTGAGCTCAGCAGAGAGAGCCCCATGAGTGGAGGTTTGGGGCTCAGGCGGAGGGACCGCGGTGCTCCCTGCCTCCTCCTCGGCCTGTTTGCCTATGTGCGTATGTCTGGAAGGCCTGTTGCCATGGAGAAGCAATGGGGAACAGTCTGCTTGGCTCGCCTGACTTTTTTCCTAGCACGAAGCAAAGGCATCTCTCCAGCTGTAATGAGTCGGAGGCCCGCTGCCTCCTCTTCTGTGCCACACTGGGGTAACCCAGACCCCCAAATACCTGGGAGAAACCCAAAGGCAGGGAGGAAACCCTAAATGAAGGTAGGGAAGGAGCAGAGAGCAAGAGGGGAAATTGCAGGGAGATGGGCCAGTGCTCACAGGGCACACTATAGAGTGACGGAACTGGGTGCTTCTCAAGGGCACACAGAACAACAGACAGTGGGCACCTGCTGCAACAAGGGAAATTCCCATTAGACATCATACAGAAAAAATCTTTCGCTGGGAGAGTAGTGCGGGCCTGGGACATGAACCGGAGTGGTGATGGCGTCTCCATCCTTGTAGGTCTGCAAAACCCATCTGGCCAAGCCCTGAGCAGCCAATGTGCCTTTGAAGTGAGCCCTGCACTGGGCTGGACCCTCCCCAGCCTCAAAAACCAAGACCTTGCTGGGGAATGGACAAGGGAGAGTTTGAGAGAGCTCCAAGAGGCACAAATGTGGCAGAGTGGCCTGAAAACAGGATGAAGTTGGAGGCATCCCTGCTTTTTAATTTTGGGAATTGACAGTACTAGACACTGCTTTACTGAGATGGTAACTGCTTGCATGGCTCAAGTTCTCTACAGTTTTTTTAAAGGTGCTCCCTAAAAACAGATGGATTTTTTCTCATTTTCTGTTGTGGAAACTCTTTGGTGACATGACTGTGCAACAAAAACCGGGGCGGGGGTGGGGGGATAGTCATGAGTAGAAGTTTAATGGGAGTCATCTTCTGTGGGAAGAAATCAAATGCACTGATGCTGGGTTTTGTTTTGTACCTGAAAAATGTCACTGTGAGCAACTTCGGGGTATTTCCAGGTAGATCTGGTGGGGATTATGTCAGGGATAGAGTAGACCTGTCTGTTAGCTTTTGGGTTTTTTTTGTTTGTATTTTTAAAGAATAGCATTTGCCACAACTGACAAAATATTTAAACATAGAAATAAAGAGCATTTCCCCCCTCTAATTATACAGGAAAAAAAAGGGGGGGGCACAGTCAAAAGGCTCAGGCTGACTTTATTTTTAAAGTATGCCCATGTATTTCTCTTTTTTCCTTCTTTTGACTGTGTGCACCTTCAGATCTCTGTGTCTCTGTTTCTAGTGGGATGAAGCAAGGCTAGGCATCGGATTAGATGAGCATGCATCAGCTCTACCACAGTTGCTTTCAACACACAGGACTGGGGCATACCTGCCTTAAAATGTTTTCACCAATAATAGCACATGGGATGAAGACCGTAATGTTTAAAGTCTTACCACTCAGCTCAGTGCTGTGTAACAGCAGAGCTGTGTTCATCCTGTCCGAGATACAAAACCCCATGGGAAGAGAAGCAACTCTCATCTGCAAGAGCAGTTCTGCAGAGCGAGTGGGACATGGAGGTCATCTCACTCGGTGGCAGTGATGAAACAGATGATGTCACTTAGCTCCTCTCCTTTGGTCAGCTGGTCTAAGCTAAAAAGCAGGGTGACGTCTTTGCACACATGGCACTTTTTCTGCTCACAGCTTGGGTCTAAGCAAAGACACATTTCTGAAAGTTTGTTATTCACAGTGAATTCCCAAGTGTATGATAAAATTCCAGCTGATGAGGTATTTATATCCTGCTCCTTGTGTCCACATACACTAGGGTAGTTGGGTACCTTATTCACTTTTTTTTCTGCTCTCTGCATGAATTACTTTAGTTTTCAATTTGTAGATTAATAGTCCAAATAGTTAGACTTAATTTATTCAAATCCTCATATATTTTCTTGCAGATTGACTTCAGAGTCTATAAAGAGAGGACTGAAGCTTTTTCCAAACTTTCGGTCTCTTCCATGCAGGGTCTCTGAAGGACAGGGAAACTTATGCTGCAGCCTTCCCCAGGTAAAGACAAGACAAGGCGTGTCTGTGTGTCACTCCCTCCTTTGGCTGCCCCTTTTCACAAAGCTTGTAGGAAGTTTAATTATCTATAAAACTTCTACACCTCTGTCAAATATTGTTGAATGAGTTGGCTCTGAATTCCTGGGATTCGTGCACTCGCTTGCAGAGCCAAGGGCATCACCCAAGTGCAAGTGAATAATATTTTAAAACTGGCTGCCCCCACTCAGGTACCCTGAAAGCAGATTTATAAAATACTTTCTTGAGGAAAAGCACTTTTCCAGACCTTCCTAGGGATCAAAACCTCTGCTGTGAAGAAAGGCTGAAGGAGTTGGGATGGTTCAGGTGCAGAAGAGAAGGCTCCAGGGAGACCTTCTTGCAGCCTTTCAATACATAACAGGGGCTTATAAGAAAGATGGAGAAAGACTTTTTTACCAGGGCCTGTAGTGACAAGGGGCAATGGTTTTAAACTGGAAGAGGGTAGATTGCGGATAAGGAAGAAATTTTTTACGATGAGTGTGGTGAGACCCTGGAATAGGTTTCCCAGAGAAGTTGTGGATGTCCTGCCATTGGATATGTTCAAGGCCAGGTTGGATGGTGCTTGGAGCAACCTGATCTAGTGCAACATAGAATCATAGACTCATTTAGGTTGGAAAAGACCTTCAAGATCATCGAGTCCAACCATCATCCATGCCCACTAAACCATGTCCTGAAGTACCCTGTCCACTCGCTTTTTGAATACCTCCAGGGATGGTGACTCAACCACTTCCCCGGGCAGCCTATTCCAATGTCTGACAACCCTCTCAGTAAAGAAATTTTTCCTAATATCCAACCTAAATCTCCCTTGCCGCAACTTGAGGCCATTTCCTCTTGTCCTATCTCCAGCCACCTGACAGAAGAGACCAGCACCCACCTCACTACAACCCCCTTCAGGTAGTTGTAGAGAGCAATCAGGTCTCCCCTCAGCCTCCTCTTCTCCAGACTAAACAGCCCCAGCTCCCTCAGCCGCTCCTCATAAGACTTGTGCTCCAGGCCCCTCACCAACTTGGTTGCCCTTCTCTGGACACGCTCCAGCACCTCAATGTCTTTCTTGTAGTGAGGGGCCCAAAACTGAACACAGGGCTCGAGGTGTGGCCTCACCAGTGCCGAGTACAGGGGAAGAACCACCTCCCTGCTCCTGCTGGCCACGCCATTTCTGATGCAGGCCAGGATGCTGTTGGCCTTCTTGGCCACCTGGGCACACTGCTGGCTCATATTCAGACAGCTGTCAACCAAAACCCCCAGGTCTTTCTCTGCCAGGCAGCTTTCCAGCCACTCTTCCCCAAGCCTGTAGCGCTGCATGGGGTTGCCATGACCAAAGTGCAGGACCCGGCACTTGGCCTTGTTGAACCCCCATAGCAGGGGGGTTGGAACTAGGTGATCTTTGAAGGTCCCTTCCAACCCAAGCAGTTCTGTGATTCTATGAACTGAAAATCCTCTGAGGCTTGGCTGACCGAGCAGCCGATCAGCTTCTCGCGCTGGGTTTGTTTTCAAGCGTTCCATGACCTCGAGGACAGTGTTTTCTCCGGCAGGTGACACTGGGGACAAGGAGGCGTCCGGACGCCCAGCTCTGCCTCGTGGCTCTGCTGCCTCCAGTCGCCTCCGGGAACTCCCCTGGGGCCCGCTCTGGGACGATGGTGGTGAACGGTGACGGGCTGAGGGGACAAAGCCAGTGGAGGAGAGTGGACATTTGCGTCAATCCTTCAGAGACACCACGTTCAAAACCTGACGGCCTGACCTTCGTGACCGCGTCCACCCCGCCAGCAGCGGGACCCCGGTGCACCCACCCATCGCCCTGCCGTCAAGAGAGCCCCCAGCTGTGGAATATAAACCATGCGTAAAACCTTTCAGGGGTTCCGTCAAAGGCAGGCTATCGTTCTATGTCAAAACGACTGCTTTTTTTGCAGGCTGCAGGTCTGTTTCCCGACGGGAGCCCGGAGGGCGCATCTCCCCGGGCCTCCCCTCGCCCCCGGCCGTGTCCGCCGGCAGGCGGCTGTACATTCGCCTCAGGTGCGGGCAGGACCGCGGCGAGCGCGGGACGCCGCCGCAGGGGCGGGGGACAACTGCCCTTCCTTCCCCGGGGTCGCCGGGCCGAGACGGGC